ATGAATGTGACTGTGCAGGTCTGTCATTCAAGATTCACCATCTCATCAATCTCATCTTCTCCCACCGTCCCCCTGGCTCACTCCTCTCCAGTCACCGCAGCCTCAGGCAGTTCCTCAAACATGAAAAGCACACTCCCACCACAGGGTTTTCATTTTTGCCCTGTCCTCTGCATGGACACACTTTTCTGACATCCTTTTAAACTACAGGCTTCCGATCACCTGATGTTGGTAATTGAAGGTTGCAGTGAGCTGTAACTGTGCCACTGCACTCTGGCCTGAGCGACAGAGTGAGACTGTCTCCAAAGCAAAATAAAATTAAACTAAAAGTTGAAAATAATAAAATATAAACTTCCTTTTCTGCTTCCCTGCTTTGCATTTTTCTACAGCTCTTACCATATCCATGCTTGCTTTGCCCCCAGTTTGCTGTGTGATCTTGGGCTAATCACTATCTGTCTCTGGGTTTTAGCTTCCCATCTACAAAACGAGGGCAGTGGTTGATAATTTTCTAAAATCCTTTCTAGCATTTGCATCCCACATCTCTGTGTGCAAATAATGTAGGTAAGCCTGATGCTGTGTCTGGTAAACATAGAGAGTTTCAGGCTTATTTATCAATAACAAGAAAGTGACATTATACATAGTCACTTCTTGTTATTTTCAGTAAAGTCGCCACCAACTCCCAGTTAGTCAATTCTGAGCCATGGCTCCTAAGAGAAATACACGGTTGGGTTCCTGCGAGCCTCTGACCACAACATTTTCATCCATCAATCAATGCATCACCTTGTTTTTTGTGTATTTGTGTTTAAGGGCATCTTATGTAACATATGTTGATTCACTAACACTGAGCTCACAGTCAAGAGTACAATAACACATTCCTGAGCAACACTTATCCAACACACGTATGTCCTTCTTCAGGCATGTCACAGCCTTTGGAACACGAGGTAGCACTTTCACAGCTTACTTGGGGAACAATTTTAAACAGCAAAGTCACCAAGAAAAAGCACACAAATGTGACAAATATGGCACTAAATAGACTGCAAAAAAAGGTATTTTTTTATCACATGAGAGCTGAAACAATATGGCAGAGTGTTGCCCTGTTTTCCCTAAGCTAGAAATGTTTTCATCATCTGATTACAATTTTTCAGGGCTCTGTACATGTCTGTGAGTGACCGTGAAAGTGCCGTGAGTATTGATTCGGGGGTTACAAATAAATTTTAGCAAGTAAGCAAATTCACAAATACAGAGTCTGGGAATAATGAAGACCGATTGTATAGTTTACAAAGATAATTATTATCTGCCTTTCCCAACACAATGTAAGCTCCAAGAAAGTAGGTGTTGTTCTGTTTTGTTCACCACTTTCTCTCTAGCTCCTAGAATACAGTACACTCTTAACAAATATTGGTGACATAAATAAGCCTGAAAATATCTATTTTGACCAGACACAGTATCGAGTTTATTTAAATTATTAGCACACAGAGATGTGGGATGTGAATGCTAGAAAGGATTCTAGACAACTGTCAACCACTGCCCTCATTTTGTAGACATGAAGCTAAAGCCCAGAGAGAGATAGTGATTAGCCCAAGATCACACAGCAAACTGGGGTCAAAGCAAGCATGAATTTTTTTTATTTTTTCTGTTTTTAGTTTTGTTGTTTTTTTCCAGAGACATTCTCACTTTGTCACCCAGAATACCCAGAATGGAGTGCGGTGGCATAATCATAGCTCATTGCAGCCTCAAACTCCTGGGCTCAGGTCATCCTCCCACCTCAGTCTCCCAAGTAGCTAGGATTATAGGCATGTGACTCCATGCCTGGCTAATTTTATATATTTTTTTTTCTAGAATCAGGGTCTCTCTGTGTTTCTCAGGCTGGTTTTAAACTCTTCGTCTCAAGCAAGCCTCCCATCTCGGCCTCCCAAAATGTTGGGATTACAGGCATGAGTCACCGCATCCCGCTGAGCATGGACTTCTTAAGCTATGGCTCAGAGCTCACTCCATTGTACTATATTTTCAGCACCTTACAGACATGATCTTTGTTATTATTGGGATGTCTCAGAGCATCTGACTTAGGGCTTAGAACAGAGTGGGTGTTCAATAAATGCTGACAGGATGGATTACAGAAAAGGTAGGGGATATGCCTAGAAGATGAAAAGGCAGACTGCACCTTCAGCGAAAGTCAATCACATCAGTTGGAAAGGCTGACTTGAATTTCAGCTGTAGCTCTCTCAGGAAAAAGTTAATGGGGAAGAAAGAGGAGCTCTGTGTGTCAGTCAAGACTTCATGTTCCAAGTAATGAAAAGATAAACAGACTTGCTTTAAAATAAACAAGAGAGAGAATTCATTGACTTGTGCAACAGAGAAGTCCAGAATTAGGGAGAATTTCAGATGTGGTTTGCTCCAGTGATTGAAAATAGCATTGGGGTAGCAGTTTTGCAGCTCTGTTTTTCTGTAAATCTCTCCTAGAGATAGCTTCTCTCACTAGCAAACTGTGTACAGGAGTCTAAGGTTTAGTATCTACCCAACACAGCATCCAGAAGAAAAGAGTTTCTATGGTCCAGAATTCCCACCTGGAGATTCTCACCTGCGATTCACTGTAATTGCGCAGGCATAAGTCATGTGGTCACCCCTGAACCAATCACCATAGCCAAGAGGGTGGAAGCTGCTGATTGGCTGAGCAGGATCACATGTTCTAATCCTGCAGCTAAATATTGGTATCAGCACCTGAAGAATCTTCTATCAAAATTCAGGGATGGTAGAAAGAAGGGAGAGGGGAATGAATACCAAGAAACAATAGTTTTCCACACTATATACACGTATGAGGCCAGACACCTCCAACGGACTTCCAATACAGGAACAGAGATTTGAGAAATTGTTAATTGTTTTAAAGAATTTATTGCTCCATAAATACTATTGCTCCAGGTTCCATGGTAGGTTCTAGTGATAGAGGTGAAAAACTTCTAATCCTGATCCGCAAAAATAGCTCACAGGTAATTCACAACAGTTGGTTCATAAGATACATGAAAAAAGAGATCTGTTCAAATGCACTACATTAGAAAAAAAAAAAAAAAAGCAAAAAAGAAAAGAGAAGAGGCTATGTCAGTGCCATGTCAGTCCCAGAACAAAAACATTGCTTCCGTGTTATTTACTCTTAACAACTGTTTTTTTTTTTTTTTTTCTGAGACAGCATCTCTCTCCGTCGCCCAGGTTGGAGTGCAGTGGCACAATCTCGGCTCACTGCAAGCTTAACCTCCAGGGTTCAAGCGACTCTCCTGCCTCAGCCTCCCAAGTAGCTGGGATTACAGGCGCCCAACACCACGCCTGGCTGATTTTTGTATTTTTGGTAGAGGTGGGTTTTCACCATGTTGGCGAGGTTGGTCTCAAACTCCTGACGTCAGGTGACCCACCCGTCTCAGTCAGCCTCCAAAGTGCTGGGATTAAAAGCATGGACCGCCACGCCTGGCTTTAACACCTTTTTGAATATCACATGTACACTAGGGACAGAAATGTGCACTCAATGAACACTTTGACGGTTATTAGTCCCAGAATATTAGAAGGGTTTGGTTTTTTCCAGTGACTGTCTTTGAGAGAATCAGTGGCCTCCTCCCACAAGGCACTCTGCATTTCTTACATAACTTGCAGCATCTCCAACTAGGAAGACTTGGCCCCACATCCATTACAATACCCCAGAGAGACTCCCATAACTTCATTCTCGTGCTGCTGTCAGAGAGCTGCTCCACTGTGAAGCATTCTAAGTGAGAAACAAGCTGTGGGCAGGAACCTCTCCATGTTCCTTTGATAGCTATCAGGAGGGAGAGGGTTGACAGCAAAATCACTTCCTCTACTTTTACTTGGGGTTTGTGCCAAAGCGTGCTGATCCTTCAGGACTCTGCTCAGGTCCAGACTTCAGAATGGTGAGATGTGGGGAGCTGAGGGTGGAACAGTCCCTAGAGGAAGTGCTGGCTCCATGAGTCTGCGGTGCCATGCAGGTCAAGGTAGAGACATGAGTGGCCCTACGTGCCAGGTGGTGGACTAGGGGAATTGCTTGCACAAGCCCTGGAATAGAGTAGATGGTAAATAAGTGTTAAATTGTGTGTAGGAATGTGACAGCAGAAAAGAGGTGCCAGATAATGTTTCCATATTGGTTGCAATTCAAATTAGCTTAAGAAAAAAAAAAAAAAGGAAAAGACAGCTGTATTGGCTGGTATAGCTGGCAAATTAAAGACAGGACTAGTTTTCGGCAGGAGTGGATCCAGGGACATCATTGAGACTGTGAGAGCTCTGTCTCTTTTTAACTCCTGGTGTGCTTCTCTGTAGGTGATGGCCTCGTCCTCACCTTCCAGAGACAACTTTTCTCCACATTGAGGGGAAGGTGGTTGTCCTCAGTCACTGACTAACAGTCTTGCAGCTTTGTGACATGAAAAGTAAATCCTTTTTCCTTCTAGCGCCTAATCAGGAATTGCAGGGGAAATTGTCCGATTAACCTAGCTTGGTTAGGGCAGAAACCCCTGGAACAGGTATTAGGAATCAGAGAAATTGGGTTCTATGACTGGCCAGCCTTGGAATGCACATCCACCCTAATGATAGGGTGGCCTGATTTAGTAAACAAAAATGCAGTATAAGTATGGACTAAAAATGATTCATTCCTGGCTGGGCACGGTGGCTCACGCCTGTAATCCCAGCACTTTGGGAGGCTGAGGCAGGCAGATCACCTGAGGCCAAGAGTTTGAGACCAACCTCGCCAACACGGTGAAATCCCATCTCTACTAAAAATTCAAAAATTAGATGGGCGTGGTGGCAGGCACCTGTAGTCCCAGCTACTCGGGAAGCTGAGGCTGGAGAATCTCTTGAACCCGGGAGGCTGAGGTTACCGTGAGCCAAGATCATGCCACTGCATTCCAGCCTGGGTGACAGAGTAAGACTCTATCTCAAAAAAAAAAAAAAAAAAGAAAGATTCATTCCTTATATGAAATTCCAGTTCAACTGGATGTCTTATCTTTTTTATCTAGCAACCTGGCACTGGAGGCAGAAGAAGGATTCTATGATTGGAAACCTTCCAGACTCACCTGCTACGGAGAAGAAAGGCTAAATCCACCAGACTGTTGGATGGACTTAAAACAAATTGCCCTCTGCAGCTAGGTTTCTTATTAATATACTCATAGAAATGCACGAGAACTGAAAACTTGATAGGGAAACCAAAAAATAAAAGTAAAGCTATAAACCAATGTTTCTTAAAACATGCTCTGCAGAACACTCGTTTGGTGGAATGTAAAGCATTTTTTCATATTAAAGGTGTTAATCGTGTTTCTCTGCTATGGGACTCTCATTGCATTAATATGTCCATTTCCGTTGCGAAATTCTCAGGAGAGAGAGGCAGTATGTGATATTCCTCAAACGCATGAGGTCATGGAAGCTAAGAGCGGAAGAGCGTTAGGATAGCAGAACAGTTTTCGTAGCACAACAGCTCCTTGCATGTGGTGGAAATCACAGAGTTCAGGGGAACATTTTACTGGCTGTATTGTTAGTAGGATGAATGCTACATACTGCGTCTTCGGAACTATAGTATGGTATCCCTGAGAAACAAAATTAGAGGAAATATTGATCCCATCTCACCATTTCCAGCTAAAACTAACATGCCAAGTCTGCAATGTCCCAAAATAAATGTGCTCATTCCCTGAACACATGGGGCCTTTGTCTTATTTATTTATTTATTTATTTATTTATTTTGAGACGGAGTTTCATTCTTGTTTTTCAGGCTGGAGTGCAATGGCATGGTCTCGGCCCACTGCAACCTCCGTCTCCCAGGTTCAAGCGATTCTCCTGCCTCAGCCTCCCGAGTAGCTGAAATTACAGGCACCCGCCACCACGCCAGGCTAATTTTTGTATTTTTAGTAGAGATGGGGTTCACCATGTTGGCCAGGCTGGTCTCGAACTCCTGACCTCAAGGGATCCGCCCGCCTCGGCCTCCCAAAGTGCTGGGATTCCAGGCGTGAACCACCGCGCCCGGCTAAGACTCTGTCTTGAGTCATCCCAGCCAAGTTTTGAAGTTGCTCTTGCATCCGCTCATAAGTTCTAACTCCCAGTATGCATTGCAACAGGAAGTATAGGGAAAAGAGTGCAGAGTTCTAACTTATGCAGTACTTAGGTACCCATTATACCTGATCCACCTTTATTATCACAAGTTCACAGAAATTGGGAGCTAAAGAGATCTTTAAGGGAGAAATAGGAGAATTGAATCATCTTGACCTCCAGGCACATGCCAGACACGACACTAACCCATTTTTTCCATTTTTTCGGTGACTTCCCCATGACAACTCTATATCTTTTATACAAAAGGACTTCTGTAGCCTAATAAATTTAGGCTTTCTTTGATTCTCAACAGATACAGAAACCGAGTTCAGATACAATGGCTTGATTGAGCTCATTTCACTCCATGAAAAAAGTTTTGGAATAAGAGATTTTTATCTCCTCTACACTGATATTGTATACTTCTTTCAGTTACGCAATATTCTGCATCTCCAAGAAGCTCTCTGCTTCTTATTTAATGCTTGTCAACCTCTGCCTCTCTGGCAAATTTCTTCTAATGAGTAGCATCCGGGAAACTCCTGTTCCCTTTGTGTGTCCCCGCTATCCTCCACATTATGTTTGATCTCAACATCCCACTAAAAATTGGATATTGATAGTAGCCTGCTATGATAATGAACCATTCATGTCTCAATGTGAAAAGGCATTTAAGACACCTGTTTTCATTAGTAATAATAGATCATTGCTATGGTGGATGGAGTTGTTTTTATTTTTATTTTATTTTTTTAATTATTATTGCATAGAAATGCTCTTGAGAAACAGAGCAATTAATTTCCTGATACCTTACCAAGAGTGAGTACGTTGTTAACCCTCACTTTGGGAAGTATTTGTAGGTAATTGGGCATGGCTGCTTGCAAGGGGGAAAGTGAATTATATTCTAGAGTAGCCCCTTGACATATCCCAGGTATGAATAACCACTTTTTTAATGTTTTGTTTGGCATTTACTCCTTCATTCATTCATTTTAGGAACACTTGTTAAATGACTCCTATTGGTCAGTTGCATGGTTAAATGCTGGGGTTGCAATGACTCAGTTTCATTCACTTATTCATTCAACAATCATGACACTATATGCAAGGGCCCTGGATATTTAAAAATGGATTGTAGGCTGGGCACAGTGGCTCATACCTGTAATCCCAGCACTTTGGGAGGCCGAGGTGGGTGGATCACTTGAGGTCAGGAGTTTGAGACCAGCCTGACCAACACAGCGAAACCCTGACTCTACTAAAAACACAACAGTTACCCCGGCATGGTGGGGGGTGCTTGTAATCCCAGCTACTCAGGAGGCTGAGACAGGAGAATCACTTGAACCCAGGAGGCAGAGGTTGCAGTAAGCTGAGATTGTGCCATTGTACTCCAGCCTGGGTGACAGAGCAAGACTCTGTTTCAAAAAAAAAAAAAAACAAAAAACAAAACAAAGCAAAAAAAAAAAACTGATTCCTGGGTGCCACCCAGAGATTCTAAGTTAACTAATCTTAGTGTAGTTTGGGCATTCTGATATTTAAAAGCTTTCCAAGTGATTGTAATATACATTCAAGCTTGGAAACCATTGCTCTACACCCTTGTAGTTAAAGAGTGGCCTGTACATCATCAGTGTTGGCACCACCTGGGAGCATGTAAGAAATGCAAAATCTCAGTCCCCACCCCAGCCTGCTAAAACCTCATCTGTGCCTTAACAAGACATTCAGGTAAGGTGTGTGTGTATTAAAATTAGAGAAACACTGCCCTAGATCATCCCAGCGAGTAAACACCATGGTTCCAGCAACCTTCCAAGTCAAATTGCCACAGACCCCCATATCTATTCCATTCCCATTCCCATGTCTTTGAAAAGGGGAAAGATCTAATTTAGGACAGTTCTGCAGTAGATAAAATGTGGTTCTGCCCTACTCAATCTATATCCAGACTTTCAAACCCCACACAACCCAGCCAGAGGGCAAGCGTCTGCTTCTCCAAGCTGAAAGATCCAGATTTTTTATTATTCCACAGGACCACACTGGGAGGGAACAGAACAACCCCTGAAGAGGACATTTCACCACTGATCAGCTTCAAGAGGTCTCCCCGGAGTCCCCAGATCTCCCCACAACAAAGTGAGCTGATTTTAATCAGCAGCTGCCATCTCATCTGCATTTGAGATCCTATGAATATGCAAGCCGGGTGGATGGGGTCTCAAGGAAGAGGAATAATTGGCCCCTTACATTTGATATTCAGGACCGCTGTTCTCTTACGATGCAGTTTTCCTCTCCAGCAGTCTTGTGAGGGATTTAGGTCGCAGCAAATACCATGGGCATTATCCATCAGAACAGGATCAAAGGAAAGAAGGAGTGCTTTTGAAAAAGTCCAGTGTGTGGTGTGATTACTTGATGATACTATTAAATTTCTCTTGTGTTTTGCAACCTCTCTGGAGAGGATCTGCAAATACCCTATGCCTCATTAGCCTTGAGCCAAAGCAGCCCTGAGCTTGCTGCATGGTGGGATGTGTGCTCTGGTATCTATCCCTCTGAAGCTATCTCCACCTCTAGGAAGGGAGAAATACAAGACCTCTCTAAAGGCAAGGTAACGTGGGGTTGTTTATAGACCTGAAGTATACAGATGTGGGCTCCAGAGCAGACACTTCTTTTGTCACTAGCATTTATTCTCTCTTCTTCCTTTAGGGAGTCATTCCCTCCTGGGCGCTAAATTTGCATGGTTTGGAGGGACCGATTGAATCAGGTATGGGTGTGACTCAGGCTCAGCCAATCAGAGCATCTCATTCTTCCAGCCACAGGGATTGGGTGAGGGATGCACACGTAACCCCGTAACAGCCAATGAGAATTTAACTGGGCCTGTTATGGGAAAGGGCAGGAATTTATACCTGGGAAAATCTAGAATCAGTGTGCCAGCAGTCATGTTACTGCAATCCTGTCTGAGACTAAAGCCAATACAAAGGAAAATAGAGTCAAAAGATGGGAAAGACAATTTTGAGCCCCTGGATTCAGCCATACCTGAAGTCTGGAGCCTTATCTGAGCCAGTGAATGTCCTTTTTTTTGTTTTGAGTTGGGTTTCTATCATTGGCAAGGGAATGAATCCTAACTGATAATGGGCTGTTTTGTTCATATCCTATTTTGACACTACCTGGGGCTCTGCTTGTCATAGCCGTCACACTAAAGACAAGATAACTTAACATTTAGTCTTTCTAGTAATATCATCCAGGCTCTGCTGTGTCCAAGACACTGTTGTAGGTGTGAAGGATAGTGCAACATATAAAACAGACCAAGTCCCCGCTCTTGTTGAACTTACCTGAGCTTTGAGTCAGAAGGTTTAGAGTGAGGTTCCATTTTACAGATAAAGAAATTAAAGCTCAGAGATAGTCAACAACCTGCCCAAGGTCACCCAGAAAACATGTGATGGAACGAGAATTCAAACCCAGATTGGTTTTACCCCTTAGGTCTGTGTGAAAATCTAAACCAGAAATTGAAAACTGGCAAAATCAGACCAGATCATGCCAAAAAATGTGTTTTATTTGGACCATGGTTTTTTAAAAATTTAGAATTACTAGCCATCGCTAAAACTCAGATTTTCTATACAGATCCAGATTTCTCAGTAGTACTGAAAAGTCGAAAGGTCTAGCAGCAACAGACTAGAAACCTCACATGGTAATAGCTGGCTGGAGCGAGAGGAGGCTGCACCCTCGAAACACGCCGCATTCTCCTGTTTGCCACAGTCTCTCTCTGGGCTACTTCTCTCACTTATGTTTGTCCCTTTGCACATTTGAGTTTGCAAGCCCTGCTGCAAGTATTGAAACAGCATGCTTCGATATGCCCTCATCATTGCTTGAAGTCCCATTGCTTGGCATCTAGCACAGGATCAATGGTGGATCACTCTCATTGCTACCACTTTGCTCAAGATGGGACTGATAGAAGCTACCCATCCACTTGCCATTTGCATATGATTAAACCTTCTGGAAGCAGAGCAATCAGATGGAATCAGCTCCAGGGAAACATATGTATGCCCTGCCGGTCTCCTTAATTTCTGGAGAGGAAGCCCAAGCATGCCCACAACTTTGCAGGTGTTACAGACAATTCAGTGTTGAAGGCCAACAATATAAGTGAAAGCCAATATGGTGATAGAAATAAATGTGCCTCTCCTATGTGTCTGAAGAATGAAGTGACAGATCAGAAGGATTTGGTTGTTTTTATCATAGTGGAGAGAAAGAAAAAGTTTGGGGGAGAGCATCTAATTTATTATTGAGCATC